TTACACCCGCAATAAATATTGAATTGTCACTATAAATTATAATAAAACTTCTTTGAATATCGCTTAAATTTGATTAAAATTCTTCTTATCTAAATCTAAATCGATGACTCTTATTCGTGCATTATGAATATTACTTTATCAATAACAAAAAAAAAAGAACAAATCAGCTAGTCAATATCTATCCAAAATATTTAGTTCTCTTTCACAAGACTCATCTTATATCCAGCCAATAATTATAATTTATCTTAAGATTTACGTTAGATATATGAAGATTTCAAGTTAATAACCTGCAGCATTGATTTTAAAAATAGTAAAAAACTTTTCTATTTAAATATCGCTTTACTAGGTTTTTTTTTCCCTAATTAAACATTTGTTCTAAATGAAATATCGAAATTTAATACTTCCTTCTTTATACATATATGCCTTTCTAAAATCAATCGTCCATAAATTCAAAATTGGTTTTATTTGATACTTCATTTACCATGATAATATACGACAACCATCTCTCAACATATTCTCATGTAAGATCAATATTTTTCATTTCATTTATTGAAAGTTTCAGCAACAACACAATCTGATGAAATCGAAAATTCTATGTACCAGACTGAATCGTTACTTTTGCAATTCTAAATAGAATCGTCGATAGGAAAATAAACTTTATAAAAATTGCAACAATCTATCCAATATTGACATTTGTAAACTAACAACAACAACAACAAAAAATATTTATATGTTTAACATCCAGATTTCCATTGAAATAATTGTTTAATTGGTATAAAACCTAGGTTTTTCACAGCTGGACTATCAATACTAATATTAAAAAAATTACATTGACTTTCAGCATGAATAAAAAGTGGATCTGTTATGAAACTATTCATATCATGATTCGTTTCTTGCCATTCACTAAAAACAAGTCTTCCAAGACCAAAAATCATCATATTTCCATACGTATTAAAATAACAATTATAATCCATAATTACAAAAGGTGATGAAAATGGATCTGGTGCTTGAACTTGAAATATCCAACGTCCACTTTCATTCACAATATCATAAATAATATTATGTCGAAAAGTAAATGATAAATGATTAGGTGATTCACGACGATATAATGAAAGAGCACCATCACTTTGATTACTTGATCGAGCAAGAATATTATTTTGAAATGTATTATTAAAACCATAAATCATAGTTAAAGCAGCTGAACCTGTATTATAAACAATTGTATTTGTTATCATTAATTGTGAAGTTCCATCAGCTAAATAAAGACCCCAATCATACAAAAAATATCCATAAATATCATGTAAAACATTATTTATAATTAATGTTCCATTTAAAAGACCACATGTATAAATACCAGCAAGATCACTCAATATATATTGTCCAATATGATGAATATAATTAAATGATATTCTATGATTATAACACGAACTTTCATCATAACTCCTAAAAAAGAAATGTCGTCGAAAGATACAACAAGAAATGATTGACTTATCGTAATAATAATGACTACGACTGAAGATATTTCCGGTTTGTGATAGGCTATTTTCTAAAGCTAGACTGACCTGAAAATGTTTTACTCTAATGCTGAAATATAGGGCAATTTGTGTCAAATTCATAGATATGTTCTTTTTCAAATACAAATTTACTGTTCGTTAAGAATGTCTAGAGTAGCAAATATCCCCAAAAACATAAACTGATCACTGCAAAATCCAAAAAGAGCAAAAAATTTAATTTTTGGCAGGTTTGGTCAAATTTAAAAGTTTTCTTTCAAAATTTCTGGTGATCTATTTAGTTCGATATCCTTAACTACTTTTCTTTCGAAAATTACCAAGCATAAAAACATCATTCATGTTTCACAAAGTTAGGCTTTCTTTTAGAAAATTTTTCACAATTTGGCTTTGCAAAATATACATCTGTCTAAGAGTTGACTTATTTGCATAAATAAATGTTTAGTAAATTTGAAATGCTTCTCTATACATAAAAAAGCACCAAAACATGAATGATTAGGAAGATTTTCTTTATATGAAGACTTTCAAGAGTAAAGTTTCGCATGAAATGTAGTTTTGGGTCTAAAAACCTAATGACGTTTCTCTCCTTTCCATGATGTGTTTGGAAGACGTCTGAAAAATTGTTTAATAAATGAAAAGCTGTTAGAGCAATCCCTTGCGGGATTAAAAGTGTGAAACACGATGGATCTATTGTTACGAATTAAATGGACAACGTTTTCTTCCATTTCTTTATGATAAATTTCTAGCTGATCGTTTATTTGATGCTTCAAATCTACACTGTCTTTGTCACAGTTTGTGAGAGAGTTTGGCAGTTCTCTGTCACGGTCTGCGATGGTCTCTGGGGATTTTCTGTGAAGGTCTGTGATAGTCTTTGGGGGTTCTCTGTCACGGTCTGTGGGGGAGGGAGGGTCCAAGTTTCTATCTCTAAACACTTCAACACTCTCTTTTAGATCGTGTTTCACAAAATGATAGTTTATCTCACTGAAAGTTTAACTCTAAAACTGATATATAGAGAAATTTGTGT